CCATCCTTGGAGGTTTTTAAGGCCCAAATTGACAAAGCCCTGGCTGAAATGATTTAGTTGGTGTTGGTCCTACTTTGAGCAGAAGGTTGGACTAGATGACTTCCTGAGGTCTCGTCCAACCCTAATTGTCTATGTTTCTAAGGGGGGTTGCAGTGGGGTGCTGTACACTGGTGACTGTAGTTTGGAGGGTGGGGTCAGGGCAGGGCCCTGCAGGCTGGGGGGTGGGGACTGTAGTTTACAGGGGAAAGGGGTCATGGCCAGGTGTGCATGCCAGAGGCTGCAGTTTGGAAGGCAGGTCACAGTGAGGTGCTGCACACTTAAGGCGGTAATCTAAGAGCCAAGCTCAAAGTGTCTCAGACATGTAGGCAGTGCACTGAAGTCTTGAGAGTGAAATCAAGCATTGGCGTGTAGGAGTCAGTCAGCAGGTCCTTGCTGGCGTGGCAGCCTGTTGTGGCTCACTGGGCTCGCTGCCTATGCAGTGGCATGTGGGGCACAGAGCCCTCTGGCAGAGCCCAGGCCAATGGCGAGTGGGCTGGGCAGTAATGCCCACATGCACACCCCATTTTTACTCGGAGCTGTGATCTGCAAGGCAGAGTCTATGGGGCCTCAGATATGGGGAAGAAGGTCTGCAGATTCAGGTTTGTGGATACTCTGGGATTTGGTGGGTGGGGCCTTTCCTAGTTTGCCTCCCCTTAAGGTTTGGGGAAGGGTCTGCAAGAAATTGGAGGAGTGCTGCAGGCTAGGGACAATAGGACAGCATGAATTATGTTATGTGCAGGATTGGGCTCTAAGGACTTGTCTTCACTGCAAAATTAGATTGTGTTAGAGCACAACTTTGAGGAGTCATGTTAACTAGCATGATGTTAAATTTGATTTTGGAGTCAGCATAGACAGGGTGGGGGGCCATCATATTTAACATTGTCAGCTTAGTTATGGTTAACTAGGGTTTCAGTAGCATCTACCCCAGATCAGCTGGGAAGATGTCAAACATGACAGTTCTTGTCTATATTAACCATAAAGTCACATTTAACATCATTTTCATTTATACAGTTCCTCAAGGTTGTATTCTAACAACCTAAATTTTTTAGTGAAGACAACCCTTATGTGTAAATGCATAGGTAAATTTGGACCACAGTCTCTCTGGTTTCAACCAAAAAAATGCAGCAGTATGCTCAGGGCCGTCCCTAGCTATTCTGGGGCCCTACACAGTACCCCTATGGGGGGGGGGGGAGGCAGGCCTGGCTTGGGGGGCAGGGGGGAAAACCACCTCCCAGCACTCACCGGCAGCACAGCTGGGGCCAGGCTGCTACACTTCCCCCTGCTGGTGAGTGCAGGCCCAGCCCTGCTGCAGTCCTCAGGGGTGGGAAGAGGCAGGGCTGGGGCAGAGCAGGGTGTGGCCTTTGGGGAAGGGGTGGAATGGCAGTGGGGCAGGGGCAGAGGCTAGAGGGAAGAGGCAGAGCAGGGGCTGGAGCAGCACACAGCTGCGCAGAGCACCAGGAAATTTGGTGCCATACACAGCTACGTACTTTGCATATGGGTAAAGATGGCTCTGAGTATGCTTAATCGCAAATCTGTGCCTTTTTGGCCAATGAAGGGCTATTTCCCGATTCCTTTACTCATGCTGAATAGAAATTTACTTCACAAATAGCCTCTCATTCTACTGGCTTTGATGGGATTATGTAAATTCAGTAATGATATCAGAATGTGGCAAATAGGCACTAGACCCAGTCTAGCCACTCTTCTGGCATTTCTTCTGGTCATGCATAGAATACTGTCCCCCCACATTTCATGTTTAGTATACTGTGTTGGTTATAATGCATTTTGAAGTACGTAACTCAAGAGTTCAAAAAAAGAAATCAATTAGACAACACTGGAGTCTATCCTTTTAAAAAAAAAAGTCACTAGATTTTCTGGAACCTTCTGAAACCCTTCATTTTTAAGTTATCCATGCATAAAGATGTGTTTCTGAAAACTAAGGAGCTGTGAAAGGAGACAAGAGTTAGGGCAGCTCTACACTTAAAAAGCTGCAGCAGCACAGCTGTGTTGGTGTAGCACTTTACTGAAGATGCTGCTACATCAACAGGAGAGCTCACATCAGCACAGTTACTCCATCTCTGCAAGAAGTGATAGCTATGTTAATGGGAGAAGCTGACAGAGCACTGTCTATCAGGGGTTAGGTTGGTATAACTACATTGCTTAGTGGATTTTTCATACCCCTGAGCGATGTATTTATACCGATGTAAGTTTGTAGTATAGACCTTGACTAAAAATGCTTAGTACAGAAGGATATGAACACAGATATAGGATCAAGAATAGAGTTCTGGGGATCTGCACTATGTTCTACTTATTTACACTAAAGCTGGAAACGCTTTCATGAGCCAAACATCATTGCAGGAGTCAAAGCCTTCTGTTTTTAATGTGGTTATGTTCTGACAAAGGATTAAAATCCAAAAGAATGTTTAGAATATTGTCTTCCTACAAATGTTTCTCTTGCATGAGTGTCATAGTAATTGGAATATTTGTATCCAAATTGCCCCATCATCACTATAACCTTTGGGCTCTTTGCTCTCGTTTCCAGATGTTCATAATGGATAACACATAATGTGTTAACACAAGGCTCAATGAACAGAGCACCAGACTGGGACTCAGAAGACCTGGGCTCTGTTCCCAGGCCTGCTGGAGGACCATGGGCTAGCTCCTTCACCTCTGTGCCTCACAGTTTCCTATCTGTAAAATGGAGCTAATGATACCAGTAGAGAGCTAAATTGGAAAGAATATCTTTTTAACAATAAAAAATTGCTGCTGACATTTCAGGATCACCTTTCAATTTTATTTCAGTACATATAGTTCATGGAAAAGACAAATTTCTGAAATAAACCACAGAAAAGTGTCAAGTGCAACAGAGTTCTACCAATGACAAAAAAAGGGCGGGGGGGGAGGCATTTTTGGCCCCATTTTTAAAGAGAGGACTATGCTCTAACCTACTACTCCCGAAACTCAATGTCTAAGATGTTTTTTCTGAGGACATTGCTGCTTCCCTTGATTGACAAGAAGGTTTTTTTATTTTGTCTCTACCACTTCTGTTTCTTTGTCTTCTCTCCTCCCTGCTGTCATTCATACATGGATTCAGCAAAGTATTAAAGACAGTGCTTAATTGTCTTGCTCAATTTAGGGCTTCATACCTCTTCTACTCCCATCCTTTGCCATTCTTCATAACCTCCTTCCCATGATCTTTTTACTCCAGGCTTGTGCTGTGTTTTTCATCCCCACATTCTTTTTGTAAATCTCTTCCTATTACCTTGCTTGAAAGGCCAACACCTCTAAATAAAGCTAGTTATCAAATAGAAGTGACTAATCTTAGCATTGATCATGGAATTAAGTGTATCAGTGGAGACAGGTACCGAAGTGAACAGTTTCTGTTCTTAGAACAGAGCAGGGAGGTCACAGGGAATTATCATTAATGGCTTCTGAATGTAGGGAATTGTATTACAAGCACAAGTCCTGAAGCGTACAAGCCTGGCTGAGCTCTAGCAGCCTGTACATGCTAACTGTTGGAGTAGGACACTAAACAAAGAAGGATCTGAATTGTAGCAGTACTAGACACAAAAATTTTGAAAGACAGTAGGATGTTAAATGTACTTAAGTATAGAGCAAATAACTCAGACAACCAACCACAACCCAACATTTAGCTTTATATGAGTTATTTATTTCCTCTATATTTTGCAGTCATTACAGATGGAGAAAATGAGAAAGGAGAAACAGTTTTAGACTCAACTAAAGTATATCGCAGATGGGGACTTGTCTCACTTTTGGACTGTGGGGACTTAACTCAGGCTACATCTACATTACAGCTAGGATCGACGCTCTGAGATCAATCTACCAGCGGTCAATTTAGTGCGTCTGGTGAAGACTCACCAAATCAACAGCAGATCACTCTCCAGTCAACCCCTGTACTCTACCCCTGATGAAAAGAGTAACGTAAGTTGATGGGAGAGTTTCTCCTGTTGACCCCCCACAGTGTAGACCCTGTGGTAACTCGACTTAAGGTAAGTCAACTCCAGCTACGTTATTCACATAGCTGGAGTTGCATAGCGTAAGTTGACTTAGGCTATGTCTACACTACTGCAGTAAGTCAGAAGTACTGAAGCAGGAAGCAACTGCAGTGCCACATACTTGGCA